CTTTGGTAGTTAACTCTTGTATATCCCCTCCACATGCCACTATGTATTTAGGGATAATGAAACGCAGGGTTTGCACACACCATTTGAAGGGCACTATTTCAATCTGTCAACATCATTATGTAGTATAAACGAACCTGTGCAGTTAACCCTTGTACACACACGTGCACGAGATGAGGCTTCATCCTAGCGTCTATATACAACTCGTGGTGCTCACGAAATGACAACTACTAGATATATACCTGCATATTGTGTTAGTATGGCGCCTTTTGAGAAAAGGGATACCTTTATTCCGGAAGTGTTATCCGCTGGGTTCGGAGATATCAGGATACATGTAAATATTCGCTCATGTGTTTTAGTTTTTAGGTTGTTTATTTTCAATTCTGATTTGTCGGTTATTCCATTGTTACGGCTAAACTAATTCCAAAATAAATTAGGAACATTTTGAATACGTACATATTAGTATATTATAATAAGTTATCAATACAACAATATGTGTCTCTATCTGGTTACAGTTAAAAACTTATTAGTTTATCAGACAAATAAAAACACTTGAGGAACTTTCTAAATGAAGGTAAATATACAATACAATACCCTTGAGAAAAACATGTAACTATTTCAGTAGTAATTATCAAAATGCGTTGTGACGTTAAACTGACGAACGAATAGTGATCATGACAGTGATTACGTAAGCACTATTGAACTAATTAGAATGAGCTACATTAAGTGACAACTAATTTGCCTTTGGAATTTGTTTCGGCAGATAATTGAGACTGATTATTCTCTGACGTTGACGTTTTATATTTCTTACTACATCTTGTCCAATTTGAAGAAGTTTTTGTAATCAATGGCAATTTCTTGTATCGTTTCCACTCCTGATAGCCTGTTATCAGCACGATCTCGCTTCAAATACACAGAATAACTTATCTAAAGTGAACGTGAAGCGCCTGATCAGAAACATGCGTAGTAGATGAATATGCTATGCGTCGATTAATAACTTTAACAATCAGCCCCAATCCGTATTATCCTTGCAAAATTTGGACATTTGGTGACTTACTGTGAACGATTGATGTGTCAAAGAGCGATAAAAGCGACAAGCCCCTTTCCATATTCATAAACAATCTCTGCAAAAAGCAAAGTTGATCGTACGATTCCGATATTGTACGATATCGTGAGTATGTGTTTATGAATCTCTATGAAAAAGGGGTGATACCAGGTGGTCGCCTTGCCTGCTCCACCGGTGCACACGTCACCATCACAGCCACTACACAAACACAGATACTGAAGACATTCCATCAATTTATTTAGATATGCTGTCCACATCTTTTCTGTCTTTCTGGTTAAGGTTGCTTTCTAAAATACAGACTTTTCTGTATTTCTTTCTGAGTTCTTTCAACAAATGATCGAGTTGAGCAGTGACCATTTCCTAGAAATAGTCAATACAATGTTTCCATTCCTTAAGGAACAATACAGGTTCATGTTTGACGCGAACATAATAGACTAGTAAGCTTGCGAGTGCAGCCGTTCAAATAACCTGGGCAACATAAAGAATACACCCATGTTTGATGGTGGTTTAAAATGAAACAAACAAGAAATGATTATTCAATGGTGATGTACTTGAGACGGGTATCATAGTTGTGTTTTGGACCTTAAGTTTTTACCGACTGTTTTCAGCCTAGTAATGTTTTGATAACGTTTGTAATTTGTTGTTCAAATCCAATTTTCAAGATATACTTTCCTTTAATTGCAGTTTACATGTACAGTAAACTACGTTTATAACGAACACGCTTATAACGAACTGACGGATATAACGAACTTATTTTTTAGTCCCGGCCATTTCTTGTATATATGCTGTATATATGCTTATAACGAACAACGGTTATTACGAACTAAAATTAGTGGTCCCTTTGAGTTCGTTATAACCGTAGTTTACTGTATGAGAAAACCTTGGGCTAGTTCCTTCAGTACTAGTAGTTCATGTTTTCGATTGATTAAATTGTTTTCGCTTTATTATGCTATAAACACGTATATTCTCACGTTCGTCGATCAAATTGCTGAAAATAGCATACAGTAAAGATGATGTATTTATTGGATCGCTAATCAAGTTATTAAATTAGTTACACATGTTGGCTTTTCAAACATTGACGTGGTAGAATCTCTGGGTGCTTCTCGCGGACGTTGATTGTCTAGCAGACACGTAAGGCAGTCAGGAATGTGTCACACAAGTGCCTTAAATCTTCCTTGTTTATTTTGATTACGTATTTATTTGCAATGAGTATGATGAAATATTTGTTTGTCAACATCTAAACACGTATGTTCACGGATGCAGCTGTTCGTGTAACGGCCTTTCATGGCCTGTGCATAATCTTTCAACAAGTCAATGAGATTTGATTCTTTGCAAGACATATTCTAACAATGAAAGATTTGATGTTATTGATACCTAGTTGTTGTTTTTTGGTTTGGGGGGGGGGTGTCAGTTTAACGTCGCTTTCGTATAGCTATATGACGGCGATCTGTAAATAATCGAGTCTGGAGCAGACATTCCAGTGAATGACATCATGAGCATCGATCCACGCAATTGGGATACGATGACATGCATCAACCAAATCAGCGAGCCTGACCACCCGATCCCGTTAGTCGCCTCTTACGACAAGCATAGTCGCCTTTTAGGGCAAGCATGCGTTGCTGAGGACCTATTCTACCCCGGATCTTCATGGGTCTGATACGTAGATGCCACCACGTATGTCTGTATGCCCCCTGGTGCAGCAAGTCACTCTGCACATAAATATTAATTATGTGTGTATCAAACAATACTTTCATAAATATTCTTCTTTGAATAGACCATAAACACAAAATATATAATCGAATGAAGCATTTTATGTAAAGTGCAATTATCTCAAATTAATCCCTCTCTGGTCATACACGTCCGACGTATTTTTAAAAAATAATACATATTATTTATAGACTGACGTCCAAAAGAAACTTTACCAGAGTTTGAAATCACTCTTGCTCAAAAACAACAAAACATACATGCATGAAGTAAAGTGTATTGAGAAGATCAATATATCAACATAATCAACACTGAAAATGACAATCATACCGTGACCGAGAATGACGTCAGAGCCCCCCAAAGTTGGGTGTGGTACAAAACTCGAGCTTTCAGAATCATGGACAATAGGCAGAGTACATAAACAATCGCTCACGTTCAATAACAAGTCATTAGTAGCGTGTGTGACCACCAAATGCCTCAATACACGCAAAAACTCTTCGACGCACAGAAAAAGTCACTCGACTGATGAGGTCATGTGGGATTTGACGCCATTCGTCTTGGAGGGCGAAGATCAGTTCTTGCCGGTTGGCTGGAGAGTGTGGTCGTTGTCGAACACGACGATCCATCAAGTCCCAGAGGTGTTCTATGGGGGACATGTCGGGTGAGCGTGAAGGCCACGGCAGGACGTTGACGTTGTTGGCTGCGAGGAAGTTAGTGACAATTCTGGCTGTATGGGCTCTAGCGTTGTCATGCTGATAAATGACACCACGTGGCTGCTGTTGGAGAAATGGTAGGACAACTGAACGAAGAATGTTATCCATGTACACCTGAGCTGTCAAGTTTCCGTCAACGATGACCAGCGGTGTCCTCTCTTGCCCACAGATCCCTCCCCACACCATGACACTCCCTCCACCATATGGTACGACCTCCTGCACGCATCACGCCGCCGTTCGTTCACCCCTTCGGCGGTAAACACGTTGTCTTCCATCAGCCCTAAACATACAGAATCGACTTTCGTCAATGAAGACAACCCTCTGCCAGTCACGTCGTTGCCAACGTCGTACAGTCCGGGCCCATCTCAATCGCAGACGACGATGTTGCGCTGGCAATAGCTGTCCTCTGTATGGTCTAAAAGCCCCGATTCCATGAGCTCTGAGTCTCCTGGCCACTGCCTGTCGACTAACCCTGTGACCTAAGGAATTTGTCGCCGATGACGTCACTGTCAGGAAGCGATTTCGGAGGTGCAAGGTACGCAAGCACCGGTCATCATGGGGCGTGGTCACCCTGGGTCTACCTGTTCTTGGCCTGTCAGCGGTCCGCCCTGTCTGTCTGTAACGTTGCATCAAGTTGGTAACGGCAACACGGGAGCAACCGAAGGTTCGTGCAATATGGGCGTGGGTGGCTCCCATCTGTACCATACCCAAGGCTCGTTCACGTTGTTCGACTGTGGGTCGTGGCATTTCTTTTGTGTTTTTTTATCACTGTGGATGTCTGACTTGCCGTTGCAATCGTTTTATACCCTTACCCGTACGTGCATTTGCAGTTGTCCGTGGTGCACGTGTTTTTCACTTTTTAGCGTTTTATCTCGCAAACATGTAACAGACGATTAACATTTTCTGCATACACTATTGTTGTTAGGTTATGTGTTTTAGATAGGCCTCATCGAAAAACAATTTATACTTTGTCTGAAATTTATATTTTCAGTTGGTAAAGTTTCTTTTGGACGTCAGTTTATATTTCTAACTGTTAGCGACGCAGACAAAATAGTTGAATTTCACATTTTAGTTCAATGTTTACTACGTAAACATTTCTGAATAGTTCTTTAAGTCCTTTTATATAAAATCAAAATATCTAAATATCTGCACGTAGCCTCACAATGACTGAGAAAACACGAATGAAGGAGCGTCTTGTCACCTTTTTGTGATAAAATGTTTAGATTGTGAATTATAGCACCTGCTTTTGTGTGAAATCATGTGTAAGACAAAACAGTTGAATTTAGGAAAGATGTATAAGGTTCTTGAGTCAACAAGACGAGACAATTGTTTGTCTGTTTTATATAACAAAAGAACCTTTGAGTAAAACTAGAGACACTTGTTTAAATGGGTCATTGTTGGAGTTTATTTTTTGGGCAAACGGGGAGTTGATCATGACCTCGGGACTGCTGTCTGCAAGCCAATATCAAAAGTAGTGAGAACACGCAACTTCTACTTTTCAATTGTGCACCATCTTTTTACGGCGCCGAAAACAAACCTCTTACGTAATTTTATCTGCTAGCCCGGTATTGTCCAAACAGTTTCCAGGGAGTCTACAAACGAACCACGGATTCAATATTGACACAGATTTGGTCAACTCAGATTCGGGTTCTACAAAAAGACGACGGTTAAAGAGCTGATACGAAATCGGAATGCTTTAAGAACGTGAGCTGGAATCGGGTTTGAAGCTCTGTTCGTGGCTTACAATTTCTTACGAACAACCGGACAGGTAGCTTTCGGACGTCCGAGGAATTTCCCCGTCTTCTGATTACAACAGGAAGGACAGTTTCCGCGGCTGACCGGTGTATTACAAGTATGCTTTTCCCACTGTTTTTGGAATCTTGTACTTAAGTGTCTCTTACAGTGACCTTCGTTATTCAGTTTACATACATCAAAGTATAATTGTTCTTAACTAATATGTAACTTCATCAGGGAACATGACCTCTTCACAATGTAAGTCTTAAAAAGGTTTTAAAACATATTCATCATATAATTCCTGTCTTACTTTTGCATTCTTAAAAATATTGAAAATAGTAGTTTGAGTCATATTTGTTCGGATCGCTCTGAAGTTTCAATCTGATGAAAGTTATCTTTGTAACATTATGCAAGACCCTACCAGAGTCACGTACATTTATACCCATGCATATTTCTGCATGTTGGTTATCATGCTATATCTGTAAAAATCACATCAGCATTACTCGTCATCTTGATCTAGATGCATTTTTATATTCATAAGTGCTGTTCTCTTTATGCATGTAAAGAAGCCTTACAATGCCATCACTCTTTCGTAAGAAGGTCATTATTGGAAATTTAAACGGACGGAACAAAACTGTAGATTCTAACACGGCGGTATATAAGATTATAACATGTAACTGATTTTCCATGATCCATTCGTATAATGTTCACTGCTATTTTGCGTTTTCCTCACAATGGAATTTATTTCGCCAGATAATCGAGACTGGTTATTATCTAGCGTTGACTTTTTATATTTACAAGTTAATGACCAACAGAACATATATGCAGCTATGTATTCAAAATTACTTCAATGAGTTGTTCCTGATCGAGTATGAAACACTGTCGCTTATCATAAGCAAAATACGTTCCAAAATGGAGAATAAGAAAATAATCCTCATATTCGTAAATAATGGAGGTTATTTATATCCTTGAAATATTTGCGAGGTTTGCTTAGTTCCACTGGGTTTTTTTCCAATTGTCAAAGATATGCATGTACTTGTGTGAAATAACATGCATAATATAACATTTATATGTCATGACAAAATGAATTATTTTCCGTTTGTTTTCGGTAATCTCTGTATTCTAACTTTTAATGTTATAAAGAGTGAGAGTGATTATGAGGTTACGACCTAGGTTAACCATATATTAGCAATATCGGAGCACCAAAATTGGGTCACATTGATTTACACGCACTGTACCAATGGGGGCAGTTGATATGTCGACGCCATCATACGTAGCGTTTAAACATCTAGATCGTGATAGTGTGACAATTACCACTTAGTGATAATAACTATTCAGTCTGACCTTTGGTTGAACTCCTGGTCTAACAGTGTACAGGTAATTAAACACAGCGTTGTAATGAAGAAAACAAAAGGACGCATTCTTGTCAACAGAGAGCGGGGACAAGCCTTTCAAAAGATGTGATTACCCACTCAACAAAGAAGGGACTAACACGCATTGGCTGAAGGGATACCCACCATTCAGTAAACAATGAAAGGTGAGGTGAGGTGACATTGGGTTTAATGTCGCGTTCAAGATTAGTGCACCTATATAGCCACGTGTGCGTGCGTGCATGCGTACGTGCGTGCGTGCGTGCGTGCGTGCGTGCGTGCGTGCGTGTGTGTGTGTGTGTGCGTGTGTGTGTGTGTGTGTGTGTGTGTGCCTCTGTTTCTGTGTCTATATGTGTGTTTTTACGTGCGTACCTGTGTGAGGCTCATTGTTCTAGTCCGGACTAATGCCAGTGTTACGGTGCTAGCCCACTGAGATACCATGCCGCAGTTGAACATGGATATCCCACTCAGACACAGTATACTGACTCCGATCAGTCGTTATTCTTTCCCATTTATGCCGAATGCCATGCAGGGTAACCACGAGTACTATTTTTAAAGTCTTTTGGTATGACGCGGCCGGGGATCGAACCACCGACTTTCCATGTGTGCGTGCGTGCGTGCGTGCGTGCGTGTGTGTCAGTGTAGTGTCACGATGATAATATGTTTTGATCAATCTCATAGAAAGTACTCTGTTATTGTAGAACACACCCTCGAATGTGTGGTGCTACTAACCTTGCCATGTCGTCTCATGCGTAAGATACTACTGATTCAGTATTTTAGTTGGAGTGGAATAACGATTGAAACTGAGATTTTACAGTCTTCTACTTCTAACAGAGATATCGCAGAATGAGAAACAGAGATATCACAGAATGAGAAACAGAGATATCACAGAATGAGAAACAGAGACATCACAGAATCAGAAACAGATATCACAGAATCAGAAACAGAGATATCAAAGAATGAGAAACAGAGATATCACAGAATGAGAAACAGAGATATCGCAGAATGAGAAAATGGGATATCACAAAATGAGAAAGAGAGATATCACAAAATGAGAAACAGATATCACAGAATGAGAAATAAATCACGGAATAAGAAACAGAGATATCACGGAATGAGAAATATATCACAGAATGAGAAAAAGATATCACTGAATGAGAAACATATCACAGAATGAGAAACATCACAGAATGAGAAAAAGATATCACAGAATGAGAAAAAGATATCACAGAATGAGAAACAGATATCACAGAATGAGAAACAGAGATATAACAGAATGAGAAACAGATATATCACAGAATGAGAAACAGATGTATCACAGAATGAGAAACAGAGATATCACAGAAAGAGGAACAAAGATGTCACAGAATGAGACACAGAGATATCACAGATGAGAAACAGAAATATCCCAGAATGAGAAACAAAGATATCACAGAATGAGAAACAGATATATCACAGATGAGAAACAGACATCATAGAATGAGAAACAGATATCACTATTTTCAATGGTTTACTTGCTTTTACCCGAAGGTTTATATACCTAAATATCGCTATGATTTTTATGAGTGAATGAGTGTGTGAGTGAATATGGCTTTAGACACATCAGGAATTTTGCAGCTACCCGCGGCGAGATATTGCAGAAACATCTAACTTAAGGCTTCTCTTCAGATGATACCTTTAACTTTAATGAAGCTCAGGCTACTTATACATTTAGATTCAAACAAATCTGATTGTATTCCTGACAATGTTGAGTTTACGTTAGATTACAATTTTCGTGTCACTCAATTTGAGCACCAGCAGTGTAAGAAGGTGAAAAGGGCAAGGTAAATATACCACAATATGCATAAACATTATTTACTCTCCCGGGATCACGTGTCGATTGTGTACACAGTTGGAACGTTGACCATGCCATATAGATGACGTCATCCGAATTTACCGTTAAGTTATAATCACTGATAAATTTTTACGAGCACATATCTTTTATTTACGCTCGGGCACACTGCAGCCATCGTAGCAATGCGTTTCAAGGCACTTAGATTCAACGCCAAACACTGTTGTGTTACCTACCACATCGCCTGTGTTAGAGCCATGCATTTCACGACTAACATCAAATAACAGAGGCTGTATCTGAAGTTGCAGCAAAATGTCACGCGAAAGCCTGCACGTCATGACAACCTCCCTTGAAAAACGTAGCCATGTTAGTCGGGGCAGATTTATACAATTCGCCATGTTGGCTGACCTGGACACATGCTATATACTACGGTTTTGAAAAGGAATTGAAATATACAGCCGAATAACATAAGTGAACACGTGTATGCTTACTTCCGTCTATCAATGAAGGCCCTGAAACAAAATATAACAAAATTCCCATGCAAATGTATTACAGTTTGAGGGTTACATAAGCGATCACTATGTTATTACTTTATAAATACTTATATATGGCTGAGACACTCCCGATGTGGTTTTAAAGTTAATTCAGAGACATATAAGAGTTCGGGTGTCAGAACAATGGCCCGGGGTCGATTTCAACCGTAGGTACATTGTGCGAAGCCCTTTTCTTGTGTCCCCTGTTTCCGTAAAGCAATCAGGCTCTGGTATAGAAAAACGAAAAACGTGCTGAAGAAAATAATTGTCTTTCATGCATTTGAAAATGAAAACCCTTACACTGTTCTGTAAAATAATATTAAAAATCCCCCCGCTCAGTTTATCTTGACTTTTTTTGACAAATGGCGTGTGTACACAGTTCGAAAGTTTACCCTGTTAAATGTTTCATAACATCTCATTAATGTTTATGTTCATTTAGTGATACATCAAGATTAGAACATTTATTAATCACTGCTAAAGAAAATATTTTGACAGTAACAAACATCTTACTCCATTGCTTTTTAAGTAAACAAAATACCTCCTGATTGTTTACAGAAAACATTGCTCTGAAACAATAAATATACATGTATTCTTACTTGAGACTATTTTCCGAGTGTTAACATTAACTAAGGTAATCTCACCCCCGAGGCTCTGGTGGTGTCATTGACTTGGCACAAATGTAAGAGGTCACGATGTCCTATCTATTTTAAGACACCTATTTTTTATGTTTCGGAACATTGTCTGTAACTGCCATGCTGAATATGAACGTCCGGACATTGCTCCTTGTGTGTGTCATTCAGACATTCAGAATGCTGAGGGGTGTGTGTTGGGGGGGGGGGGGGGGGGGGATAGGAAATATATTTCCAACGTATGCTGATCTGCATAACATTCTCTTTTTGTGAAAATGAACTGTGTTTGTAAAACATTATAATTGAAAATAATATTTCTGAATTGATACAAATGCTAATATTCGTTGATGGAATACTCAGTACATATGTCATGAAAACTGTTCAAAGGGAAAATGAATATGCTATCTATTTTGAAACATAAATCCATTTAGTTCTAAAGAACGTATCATGATATTGATAATGATATGAAGAGAACTTTCGTAATTAATACAATATCCATTCACATCAGTGAGTGAGTATGGTTTTACGCCGCTTTTAGCAATATTCCAGTAATATCACGGATATCATTCATGATGAATGTGAATGTCCATTGACATATTTGTTAAGTAGACCCCTATGTGATTGACGCAGCGCTGGCAAAGGCCAGTGCAGTCAGTCAACAGTGGTTCTGATAAAGTGATGATGAAGGATGCATGACAACATGCTGATGAAATGTACCGCAGGTGGTATACCACATGTACCGTACGACGAAAATAACTTGTTTGCTAGAGTATCTTAACTACATATTTCTACACACGCCTATACATAGTCCTACATTAATGTGCACATGTCATTTGTCACGTTTGTTGCGATTTGTTACCAAAACAAATGAGCAGTATGTGTTTGGGTATTTTATGTAAAATAATATCCAACACTATAGGGGAAAGCTTAGGGGTAGTTTACCAATTGTTTTTCAGTTGTCATATACATGTAGTTTACATCACGTAGTCAATGGTGTCATTTACAAGCCCAGTGTCATATGTTAGATTTCAGTATAGTGTTGAAATCATATGTCTCCAGAACACTCTCTGATACATATTGGCAATCTTGGAAAACGGATATTTCAAATTCTAGTAAATGCTCCTCATATCTTTTTTTTTTAAATCGCCAATAAACTTGAAACATATTTAATAAACATTCCTCCCCACGTATCCTTTAAATTGCTATTCTTTAGTACATCTTGTCCCCGCCTGCCAAAAGAAACCGGAATATGGAATAAAACTCCGTTGAATGAACGTTTGTGCAAGTTGTGTGATAGCTTTGACATTGAAGATGAATTCCACTATATCTTCAAATGTAAATATTACAATGAACATGGAGACATTTACATCCCAAAACACTATTCAAAAAGACCAAACATGTTACAACTCCAGCGGTTATTTCACTGTCATGAGATCTCTGTCCAAAAGAAACTATGTAAATATGTTAACATTATAATGAAAATTGTAAAAACTCGCGGTTAACCTCTGTCCGCCGCAATGTAAAATATTGTTTGTACCTCATATGCTGATGCACTCGGCCTGAGAGAAATTTAGTGCTGCTCTGTTCTGGTCGTGTTTGGTGTGGATTCTTTCCAAACTGAGAGTGAGGGTTACGACAAAATCTGTAATTTTTATGTGAAGATGACAAAAGTATAATGACAAAAATGAAAATCTGTGATTACCAAAAACAAATTTATGAATAGAACTACTTAAAAACAAAATGTTAGTCTAGTGGAAAATGAATATCATTTTTCACTTGTCCGCCTGCTTTTAATGATTTAAGATAACGACACATTGATCCTTAATCCTTTGTAAATCCGTCACTGGAATCCTTTGTTCGTCTGATGTCATCTAATCATAAACCTACTATTGTACAGCTATCGAAATTCATATTGAATGCAATGAAATTGTATAAGTCACTTTATCAGTAATTGTATTTCTGCAATGTTACGCGAAAGCCTGCACGTCATGACAACCTCCCTTGAAAAACGTAGCCATGTTAGTCGGGGCAGATTTATACAATTCGCCATGTTGGCTGACCTGGACACATGTCCGCCTGCTTTTAATGATTTAAGATAACGACACATTGATCCTTAATACTTTGTAAATCCGTCACTGGAATCCTTTGTTCGTCTGATGTCATCTAATCATAAACCTTCTACTGTACAGCTATCGAAATTCATATTGAATGCAATGAAATTGTATAAGTCACTTTATCAGTAATTGTATTTCTGCAATGTTATGTTCAATGGGCCTGTGGCCTCCAGCTTGAAATAAAGGTGTTACACACACTTAAAAACAATGTAATGCACAGGTGATAGATAGCAGGATACAGAATCATGAAATCTGCCCCACAGTTATATTTTCATGTGGATTAAACTTTTAGTCTTAATGCAGTATAGGAAGGATGACATTTGTGACGTCTTTCTGGACAGCAAATAACCGCAAAACACAATCCAAACACTCAAACTTCACACACAACAAACACATGTCGGATATGTAAATATAACGTCAACGCCAGAGAATAACCAGTTTCGATTATCTGCCAAACAGATTCCACCAGGTGTAAAATGCAAAGTAGTGATGAAAATTAAATGAATGGATCACTGAATCAGTGATGACACAAGGTGTTCACGGAAAGGGTAAGCATGTCCTGCTCCCCAGATGATACCCGTCACTGACACATTTCGCATATAGTTTGGTTTGGTTTGTTGTTTAACGCCGCACTCAGCAATATTCCAGCTATATGTCGGCGGTCTGTAAAAATAATCGAGTCTGCATCTGACAATCCAGTGATTGATATCATGAGCATCGATCCACGCAATTGGGATCGATGACATGCATCAACCAAGTCAGCGAGCCTGACCACCCGATCCCGTTAGTCGCCTCTTACGACAAGCATAGTCGCCTTTTAGGGCAAGCATGGGTTGCTGAAGACCTATTGTACCCCGAATCTTCACGGGTCTATTTCGCATATAAAGAAAGTGCGTGTTGCCAAATGCTGCACCCAGAAATCCCCCTGCCATACAACGTTCCTTGTAAACAGTCGAGTCTGGACTATACAGTTCAGTGATGGCTATTCTGGTCCTGACAATTCAGTGACACGATAGGGCGTTTACTGATTTGGTGAAGCTAAAACCGACATTTTAAAATTTTGATTACGTCTGCTGTGTACAAGCGCAGAAATTCTGCTCCTTATAAGTAAAGAGAAACACTTGCAATTGAGGAACATGTTACGGGAAAGGAGTCTGTTCTTGGCTCAAACATTCATATATAAAAAGACGTAACCAAACTGATTTAGGAAATTCAATGTATTTTGTACCATGCCACATACATGACAGTTGATTTATTTCTAGTGCAAAAAGAATTAAAACCTTCAAATATTGGTTTATTAGGACAAATAAGTTCTCGTTACAAGGTCAGACAAGGTGACCCTGCCAATATTTACATACAGCCGGGGCAGATTCTTTCGCGTTGCGTAATTTGCATGAAAGGTTGAACGAGGTTCAAAGCCTGTCCCGTGCATCTCGCTTCTTCTTGCAGTCTAGGCGATTGGCAGACCGCCAGGTCAACGTTTCCTCAAGGTAGCACAGTGACATTTTGTTCGTAGCGCTCACGGTTTGACATTTCGAATTTTGCATGCTTCATTTTCTGATGATTGAGGCATTATGAGATTGGACTTTCTCTAAGGTATTTAAGAAATCACTGTTGAAAACGCAGCATGCGAGGAATTTAGTTGAAAAAAAATAGTTATTGGATGGTAATTAAATGCGAACGTATGTGTGTTGGCTGTTTGCATGCATGTGACTGGCGGGCATTTGCGAAGCTTTCCGTCAACCAGTCTGACATGTATTTATCTAAACATATAGAAGTATGGGAACATAAACTACAGTGATAACGTGTTGATTGTAATTGACGAACTTTGCGGTCATCTGAGTGTGTTTCGACTGATGATTCATGTATAAATCAAAGATCTTTCAGAAATATGCGTTTTCGGATATGTTTTATTTTGTACGTTACTGTTATATAATATGTTTCTGCTTGAATGTTATTTTGGAATTTTAATGTTTTATAACTTGAGTATAAATGGGATGTGATTGTAAGTGATTTCAGTACCAATTTTAGTTTTTGCATCACACTGTGTTCTTCTGAATAGTATTGATTTGAAACAGTTAAACCAAACTAAAAGGGTTATTCTTAAAGCAGCATCCAAACTGTTTTCCGACATTTATTTAGGTATGGATACTCGAAAACAACTAATTTGCACGCTATTTTTCTGTGTGTTATACAGGATATAGTACACAACAAAAAGAGTCGGATAAGAATATTACTGACAGCGGGCCCCGAGAAGTTACGTCAAAGGGGTTCCAGACGACGCTTGGATCCACGAAACCTTCCGAGACAGCTTCTAAGGCTGAAGATGGCAAAGCTGGCAGCCTCACTTCAATGAGAGCACTGAGTGACCTTGCACGCGATGTTAACAAACCAGCAGCGACCATTGTCCAAAATGATGGCGACCAAAATGACCAGGATGGTACGGACGTTGAGTTATCTCCCTTTAATGTACGTGATATCACGTCCGACATGCAAAGTGCGAACCTCGAACGCACAGTGGCTCCGGAAGGTACCAGTTCAACGCCACTGGCTAATAGCGCTACAACTAGCTCTCAGCCTACATGTACTCAAAGGACCCACAAAGGATGCGACGTCATTAATTATGAACGATGTACTCAAATGGGGACATGTGAATGCCTCCGAGGATACCTTAAAGACGTCATAACAGAAAAATGCATAGGTGAGTTTCTTGTACTTATCTTTAGGAAGTCATGTGTATATGTATATTGTGTATTCATGTGTAAATGTATATGAGTGAATGAGTGTGGTTTTGCGTTCCTTTTATAGCAATGTTCTAACAATGTCCCGACGGTGGCCACGAGAAATGGATTTCATACCTTCATCCTTTGTGAGGAATCGAACCCTTGTTTGAGGAGTAATGAGCGAACGCTTTAACCACTAGGCTATCGTATGCTTATACCTAGGGTCTTCATTGATTTTCAGGGGCGATCGGGTAGCCTAGTGGTAAAAGCGTTCGCTCGTCACGCCGAAGACCCGGGTTCGATTCCCGATATGGGTACAATGTGTGAAGCCCATTTCTGGTGTCCCCCGCCGTGATATTGCTGGAATACTGCTAAAAGCGGCGTAAAACCATGCTCACTCACTCCTTGATTTTCAAGGCGATAAACGGGATCGGGTGATCAGGCCCACTGACGCCTCTTAGTCGCCTCTTACGACAAGCATAGTCGCCTTTTACGCCTAGCATGGGTTGCTGAAGACCCATTCTAACTCGGATCTTCACACTATACGGGAAGATTTTTGCCGAGGAATATTCCTCCAGTTCCATTTCCACTTTTGAGGTATAATCGAGTATGGTTTTACTACAAAGATTTCGAATAGCGTCATACGTCTCTTGTTAAAAATAAAGCTGTGGTCTTCTCAATAAAAACGACAAAAAAAAACATTGATTCATATGATTCACGCTCACACAGTGATGATACCAAGTGTCGTGAAAAGGTGAGCGTATCCTGCCCAACCTAGCACCCGTCACAAACACATGCAAAAGCAAGTCAATTGTTCACCTGAATTAAACACGGGAACATATGCCACAAGTCAAAATAGGGAAGAGCATCGGACATCATTTTATCACTGATGCGTCAAATTTGGAAATGCCATCCACATGGCTACCGTAAAATGTAAGCTTTACTGAGGCAATACTTGAATGTTGTAACCTTGATCAGTCAACTCCTTTGAGCATGAGTCGTATGACGCTACGAAAGAACAAGCTCGATTGTACCTCAGACGTTGTCAAAGGTCAAAATAGGTGATTGCATCTGACATCATTTTTGTCACTGACTTGGAAATGGCCTCCATATGTTTACCATATTAAATTTAGACCCGTGAAGATCCGGGGTAGAATAGGTCTTCAGCAACCAATGCTTGCCGTAAAAGGCGACTATGCTTGTCGTAAAAGGCGACTAACGGGATCGGGTGGTCAGGCTCGCTGACTTGGTTGATGCATGTCATCGATCCCAATTGCGTGGATCGATGTTCATGATGTAAATCACTGGATTGTCTGGTCCAGACTCGATTATTTACAGACCGCCGACATATAGCTGGAATATTGCTGAGTGCGGCGTTAAACAACAAACCAAATCAAACCAAACCATATAAAATTTGAAAGCTCAAGGTCTTGAATGTTGAAGCCTTGATCGTCGTGTGACACTATTTGAAATGTTCGTAAAAAGAAAATGCTCGATTTTACCTCAAAAGTTGTGAATGTAAAATGACAAACTATTGAAAGACTATTGCTCTAATTCTGTAAGGGGGTGCGTGTGACAGAGTCGCCCAAGGCACCGCAATTAGCTTATCAGAGTTGCGGCTCTTACGCTTGCCGGAAACCTGTGCTCGCGGGTTCGAATCCAAGATTGGCTCTTGTCTTAGGTTTTCAGCAGCGTACCTGTGGTCTTGGCTTTCACTAAAATGGTAAACATCTCAGATCAACGTCACTTCGGGCTTTTCGCCAACATAACGTTGACACGTCGTGATATAACACACTCGTTCACTCAAACAGTACAATCCTTCATGTGTTTTATAACAATTCAAGGAAAATAATTGAAATATATTTGACAGCCAAGGTTATGTCTTTATACGTGGTCCTTTTTAATGTTTCAGCTGCACAGTTCTTCACTGGTGAAATTGAGTTAGCCAACGATTACACAGAAGATTTTGCAGATAAATCTAGCGATGCATATATAAAACTGACATCACAACTGCAGCAAGTTGTAAGGAAATTATCTTTATGTCGAGTCATACTCTATAATAATGATCATTTATAATTATCTTTCGCCCATAATGTGTTAAGCCTCAAATATATATTAATGCACTATATGGTCATTTTTTCACTTTATCAAATCTTCTTGTGATAAATATACAAACTTCACATAGGAGGATTTTATTCAAAAAGGATAGGTCAGTATTGCTTTTTATGCTTAATCAAATTCGCCTTTAGTGTTTCCTTCAAATCTTTCCATGCAAGACGAGTATCTTAACCCTGAGACTTTGTTCCAACCGTGATCACAACCTGCACTGTAAACGTCATCTTTTTCTACCAATTCCGCGAAGTAAATAAGGGGATGATTTTATCTAATTTCTTGCCTTTTATTTTCACAAAACTATGCTTAATTATAAATCACGTATTTACTTCGTCTTTCAGTTGCTACGAGCTTTCAAAAGCCAAGATGTAGCCGGTATTTTGCGTATCAAAGTTACCAACATAGCTACAGAGAAGGTGTTGGTTACCTTTGAGATTGCAGTGGACAAAGTGAACTCCGGCGGCCGTGACTACCTGCAGCGTCAGTACTATCAAGGCCTGACCAGCACAGCCCACAGGGATGAGAATGAGGGACTGGTCAAGCTTAAGGGCACAGACTTGATCCTTGGAACCAATGGCAGTATTGCTTGGTATTTAAAACCATTCACCGGTGAGTATTCCTATTCGGATATAAGATGATCAGTTGTCTTTATTTACCGTGTGAAAAAGAGTCGGATTTACAAATACAAGACAAATAGAAATTTGCCAAAATATTATTTGTAAAATATGTACTTCACTGACGTATGTTCCCGACCCGTGAAGGTGCGGGTAAGAAAAGGTCTTCAGCAACCCATGCTTGTCGTAAGAGGCGACTACCGGGATCGGTTGTCAGGCTCGCTGACTTGGTTGATGCGTGTCATCGTATCCCAATTTTGTAGATCGATGCTCATGATGTAAATCATTTGATTGTCAGATCCATTGTCAGATCGATTATGTTCAGACCGCAGTCATATACAGTAGACTACGGTTATAACGAACACGCTTATAACGAACTGACGGATACAACGAACTTAATTTTTTGTTTAATTTTGATTAAGTGCGGCGTCGGGCACCAATCAAACATTTACCTTTTTATGTAAATAGTGTCAGTGGCAGGGACTACTGGTAGGGAAGGACATGCCAACACTTTTCGCGAACACCTGGTGTTATCACTCATCTTCTGTGTTCCATTCACATAATTTTCACCGCTATTTTCCTTTTTACGTCCATAATCGAGACAGGTTACTTTCTGGCGTTAAAGTGTTATATGCACGTTCAAGATTATTGAACTGTATATAGCAACGTGTATGCCGAGCCGACCAATCCTTGTTTCACATATGTCTCTTTAATGCCGAGTGCCAGGCAGGGTAACAGCAAGTAACATCTTTTAACGCCTTTGGACCCGTGAAGATTCCGGGTTAGAATAGGTACTTAGCAACCAATACTTGCCGTAAAAGGCGACTATGCTTGTCGTAAAAGGCGACTAACGGGATCGGGAGGTCAGGCTCGCTGACTTGGTTGATACATGTCATCGATCCCAAATGCGTGCATCGATGCTGGATTGTCTGGTCCAGACTCGATCATTTACAGACCGCCGTCATATAACTGGTAATTGCTGAAACCAAACCAAATTTAACGCCTTTGGTATGACGCGGTCGGGGATCGAACCACGACTTTCCGTAACAATAAAAACGAAATTCTAAAAGGAAGGATAATTTAGGACTTTTTTTAATTTACTTATTACATCGTCTCAATCTTGGAAAGGGTTTCATATCTTTCGCGGCGGGGATCGAACCACCGACGGAGGATAAGGTTTCCGTATATTTCCGGTGGTTTCCGTTCAAAGACGCCAAACGTAATAGAAGTATAAGTGTCCAGTGCTGTTTCCAGAAACCAACCACTGTGTGGAGCGGGCACACAACTACTGCGACGTGAACGCCAGATGTACCCACAAGATGCGATCCTTCACTTGTAGTTGCAACGACGGGTTTGTCGACGTCTCTCCTGACAAGCTTCGTACTCCCGGCGAACAATGTGCTGGTATGTTAGTTTTCTGTACGATCTTGTTTTGTTTAAAACCCAGGGCAAGATTGCAAACAGCTGAGTTAAAAATCAAACAAAAACCGGGCCGTAAATGTGAAGACATCAACGCAGGCCTCAGCAAATCGATTACTCTTTCATCAAATGTCCTGCCCAAAACTGACGTAACTTGATTTTTTTTTTAAATGTTATATGTAGGCAGGGAAGTAAATTACGTAGCTTAAAATAATGTCATTTGATTTTATTTAGAAACAAATTGTGTTAGTGGTGGGTGCTACCGATAGAACAGGACATGGTTACTCTTTTCGCGAACACCTGGTGTCATCACTGATTTTTAGTGATGTATTCATATAATTTTCATGACTATTTTGACTTTACGCCCAAAGGAATCTGTTTCAGCAGATAATCGACAATGATTATTCTCTTGGGTTAACGTTTTATATTTACACAGAAGAAATGTCGTGAAATTGGAAATAAAATACTTGTGTATAACATCCACATACACAATTCAGTGGCACGTCGACATACATGTATATGTTCTCAATTGTGTTTCAGTCAAATGTCCTTGTCGCAATAACGGAACCTGTGACTCTGTTAACGGAAAGACTGAGTGCCGGTAAGGAGACACATCTGTACGCACTATAACGACACAAACGACATTCTGTTGCCCTTGCATTCATACGACGAATACCATAGACGTCATGTGTTAGGGCGGCACAGTGGTTAAATAGAATAGATATCCTTCTGTTGTCATTACTTAAACTACTCATGTTAATCTCTCTTTGGGGCGGTCGGGTAGCCTGGTGGTTAAAGCGTTCAATCGTCATGCCGAAGACCCGGGTTCGATGCCCGACATGGGTACAATGTGTGAAGTCCATTTCTGGTGTCCATGGTGTCCTTCACCTACTATATATATATATTATGTACCATGTTCATTATTCAGTCTAGCTTGACAGGGTAGCCTAGTGGTTAAAGCGTTCGCTCAGCCTACTTGTTAAAGCATTCGCTCGTCACGTAGGAAACCCCGGTTAGCTGGGGAAAGGTAGGGGAGCTATTTTACCCCCGACACCACGAGGGATGTGTGTAGTCAATAAATACAAGTGCAGTGAAAAATGTGTCATTCTATTTATATCTAAGTTGCCTCTGATAAAGCATTGTACCGTGAGATTCCTAGTATAACTAAATCATCCCATTCATACCAGGTGCCCGAAATGGTTCATCGGAAGCAACTGTGAAATCAATGGAAAAGGTAAGAAATCCTCCGTATACCCTTGGTCACAATCTTGTAGTGTATAGGTGAGCATCTTCTGGGCGTTGCGTATTCTGTAGTGTATGAATAGTTTATAATAGATGGTCATCTTGTTGTGTGTGAACATCTCGTAGTGTGTGAACATCTCGTAGTGTGTGAACATCTTGTGGTGTGTGAACATTTCATAGTGTATGAACATCTTGTAGTGTTTGAGAATATTGTAGTGTGTGAACATCTTGTAGTGTGTGAGAATATTGTAGTGTGAACATCTTTTAGTGTGTGAGCATGTTGAAGTGTGTGAACATCTCGTAGTGTGTGAACACATTGTAGTGTGTGAGCATCGTGTAGTGTGTGAACACATTGTAGTGTGTGAGGTCTTTTTAGTGTGTGAGCATCTTGTAGTGTGTGAACATCTTGTAGTGTGTGGACATCTTGTAGTGTATGAGTATGTTGTAGTGTGTGCGTATCTTGTAGTGTCTGAATATTTTGTAGTGTGTGAACATCTTGTAGTGTGTGGACATCTTGTAGTGTGTGAGGATCTTGTGTGTGAACATCTCATAGTGTGTGGACATTTTGTAGTGTGTGAACATCTTGTGTGTAAAGATCTTGTATGTAAACATCTTGTGTGTGAGCATCTTGTAGTTTGTGAACATCTTGTAGAGTGTGAACATCTTGTAGTGTGTAATGATCTTGTAGTGTATGAACATCTTGTAGTGTTTCAGGATCTTGTACTGTGTGAACATCTTGTAGTGTTTCAGGATCTTGTACTGTGTGAACATCTTGTAGTGTTTCAGGATCTTGTAGTGTGTGAACATCTTGTGGTGTGTGAACATTTTGTAGTGTGTGAACATCTTGTAGTGTTTAAAGATCTTGTAGTGTGTGAACATCTTGAAGTGTGTAAGGATCTTGTGTGTGAACATCTCATAGTGTGTGGACATCTCATAGTGTGTGAACATCTTGAAGTGTGTAAGGATCTCGTAGTGTGTGAACAGCTTGTGTGCGAACATCTTGTAGTGTGTGAACATCTTGTGGTGTGTGAACATTTTGTAGTGTGTGAACATCTTGTAGTGTGTAAAGATCTTGTACTGTGAACATCTTGTAGTGTGTGAACATCTTTAGGTGTGTGAACATTTTGTAATGTGTGAACATCTTGTAGTATGTAAAGATCTTGTAGTATGTGAACATCTTGTAGTGTGTGAACATCTTGTGGTGTGTGAACGTTTTGTAGTGTGTGGACATCTTGTAGTGTGTAAGGATCTCGTAGTGTGTAAACACCCTGTAGTGTGTAAGGATCTTGTAATGTGTGAACATCTTGTGTTGTGTGAACATCTTGTAGTGTGTGAGCATCTTTTAGTGTGTAAGGATCTTGCAGTGTGTGAACGTCTTGTAGTGTGTAAGGATCTTGTAGTGTGTGAACATCTTGAAGTGTGTGAACATCTTGTGTATGAACATATTGTGTGTGACCATCTTGTAGCGTGTGAACATCTTGTAGTGTATGAACATTTTGTAGTGTCTGAACATCTTGTAGTGTGTAAGGATCTTGTAGTGTGTGAACATCTTTTAGTGTGTAAGGATCTTGCAGTGTGTGAACGTCTTGTAGTGTGTAAGGATCTTGTAGTGTGTGGACATCTTGAAGTGTGTGAACATCTTATGTGTGAACATCTTGTGTGTGAACATCTTGTAGTGATTGAACATTTTGTAGTGCGAACATCTTGTTGTGTCTGAGGATCTTGTAGTGTGTGAACATGTTGTGTGTAGACATCTTGTAGTGTGTGAGGATCTTGTCGTGTGTGAACATCTCGTAGTGTGTGAGGATCTTGTAGTGAGTGAACATCTTGTAGTGTGTGAACATCTTGTAGTGTTTAAGGATCTTGTAGTGTGTGAACATCTTTTAGTGTGTAAGGCTCTTGCAGTGTGTGAACATCTTGTAGTGTGTGAGCATCTAGTAGTGTGTAAGCATCTTGTAATTTGTGAACATCTTGTAGTGTGAACATCTTGTAGTGTGTGAACATCTTGAAGTGTGTAAATTCTTGTAGTGTGTAATGATCTTGTAGTGTATGAACATCTTGTAGTGTTTCAGGATCTTGTACTGTGTGAACATCTTGTAGTGTTTCAGGATCTTGTAGTGTGTGAACATCTTTTGTGTGAACATCTTGAAGTGTTTGAACATCTTATGTGTGAACTTCTTATGTATGAACATATTGTGTGTGACCATCTTGTAGCGTGTGAACATTTTTAAGTGTGTGAACATCTTGTAGTGTGTAATGATCTTGTCGTGTGTGACCATCGTGTAGCGTGTGAACATTTTGTAGTGTGTAAGGATCTTGTAGGGTGTAAACATCCTGTAGTGTGTAAGGATCTTGTGGTGTGTGAACATCTTGTAGTGTGTGAACACCTTGTATTGTGTGAACATCTTTTAGTGTGTAAGGATCTTGCAATGTGTGAACATCTTGTAGTGTGTAAGGATATTGTAGTGAGTGAACATCTTGTAGTGTGTAAACATCTTGTAGTGTGTGACCATCTTGTAGTGTGTAAAGATCTTGTAGTGTGTGAACATCATGTGCATGAACATCTTGTGTGTGACCATCTTGAAGTGTGTGAACATCTTGTAGTGTGTGAACATTTTGTAGTGTGAACATCTTGTAGTGTGTGAGGATCGTGTAGTGTGTGAACATGTAGTGTGTGAGGATCTTGTAGTGTGTGAACATCTGGTAGTGTGTGAGTGTACACTAACTTTTCCACTGTCATGTACCGTGAGTGTCCAGTAAGGGTGAAACGATACACCGATGCATCGCGATACTTGACCCACGATACGATAAACGTAGGCCCATTTATTGATACGCCCCGATACGGAACGCAAATCTCAAGTACAGCGTTTCCTCGCTATTGTGCCTTTCAATAAACCGCTAACCTGGTTATAGCGCGCGGAAACGCATGGCTCCCAAAAACGTACTTACATTTTTAATAAGCTCAGGTTTTACACCGACATAACGTTTTCGCAATCGAAATACATGTAGCACGGGAAGTCCCTAGGGTGACTGGTCAAATTGTTCCATGTGTAAAAATATCCTGCAACAGCAATCACCAGTACCAATATGCTACACTTGTGGTTCTTATAATTTGAAATATATATATAGTAAAAGCTGCAACTAAGGTAACACGATATTGGAAAATATTATTCCTGATAAAACAATAATTTCAGATACAATTTCTTCGACCATTGCATCAAAATTCTTTGACGTTGTATCACTGGTGGAGCACATTAATTATTTTCTGGTGTTTGAACTTTGAATTGTTTTTAAGGAAAGTTAGAGAAAGTTTCACTTTGAAGCTGAACAACTTCAGTAGCCTTGTTATTATAAAATAATTTTGACTGTTCCAAAATCATGAAAGGTTCAATCTTGACATGCTTTAAGTCTTGTTTTTTTATCATTGCGTATCGAGATACGTATCGTATCGTGACCAGAATATCGAGATGCGTATCGTATCGTGACCTTCCTGTATCGTTGCAGCCCTAGTGTCCAGTCTTTTGCATGATGTAAAGTCAATCACTGACCCTTTGAGAAGTCAGCATGTGAGGGTAGCTGAGAACTAAATCTAATTAGCAAACGGAATTACTTGTAAAACATTATCCGTATTTCTATTGTTTGTTTCCGGGGTTTGATAACATTGCTGCTGACATGTTGTCGGCAATGACGCTGTTGAGGTCAGTCATAAAAAATCAAAAAATCTAAAAATGTAGTCGAGAATGTTAAAACATGTCGATCCTACTGCATAGCATGGGTAAGGACTATTTGCTTATCACATGAATGGCACGATATTTTGACAACTTGCCAAAAGGCAAGCGTCGACACCACGACATGTCCTATTATCATAGTTGAAATAACCGGATGTTTATCTTTGCCTCAGACCTGCTCATCATCTGCTGTAGCGTTCTTGGGGGACTCCTGGTCCTCACCGTCCTGCTGTGTCTTGTCTGTATCTGTGCTGTCAAAAACAGGTAAGACCAGACCAAATAGCGGTCTTCTTAAACAGGATATAAATAAACAAATGAATAAATAAATGTGAAAGTTAGGAAAGATTCATACAAATATTTGTTCCAAAGGATCATTCAAAGCCTTGCTTAAAAATTGTTTTTTGTTTAATATTTTACACAATCGGGTGTGTGTGTGTGTGTGTGTGGGGGGGGGGGGGGCCATTTCTGGTGTCCCCCGTCGTGATATAGCTGGAATATTGCTAAAAGCGGCATAAAATCAAACTCACCCACTTACACAATCAGGGGCAGATCTGTTAACATGAATAAAAAAAATATCTTTCCTAAAAATAGTTAACATGCGGGGGCCTGAAATAGAATAGAATCTCGGTTATATTGGATTAGATACGAAGCAGTGGAATAGCCCAGTGGTGAAAGCGTTCGCTCCTCACGCCGAAGACCGGGTTCTGGTCCCCACATGTGAGGAATGTGTGGATGCCATTATGTGTCTACCGCCTTTAAGTTGGTTGGTTGGTTTGTTGTTTAACGCCGCACTCAGCAATATTCCAGCTATATGACGGCGGTTCCGTCTTTAAGTAAAAAAATGCATTCTATACTATTACTTGTGTACATCTAACGAATTCTCTGAAATACTCTTGTATATGAAATCGAAATACCTTACTTTACAATCCACTTCTGAAACAAACATCGACACATAAAAAAACACACAAATAAATACAATTTGTAATTATTCCACCAAAGTATTTTAATTCAATAGTAACTATTTACAGCATCGAACTAGTAGGGGTACGGGTAAGGTTGTGTTCAGATTTTTAAAACATAATTTTGATCAAGAAAACGCTCAAGCAACTTGGTCAATATAAAAAAAGAGGCGCCCGAGAATATATTTAGCATCTCGATCCTTATGTTTCGTGTCTAAATTTCACAACTTTGTCAAACGATTCTTGCTAAAAGGCTTTCAAAACGTTTTTATGTAAACATGTGGCGGACATTTTCCCATGGTTTTATTTCTGGCGAACAATTAACTTGCCTTTGGATGTGTTTGTGACGAGTGGACCCAGTTGGGCACGATACCCTCATGATACCCGGTATCTATTTGATTGTAATTCATGAACACATGCTTATAATATAGTTTCTTATGATTATGGAAATGGTTTTGTCGCTTTTGTTAGGATAACTATCATCGGCCTTGTTTAATATTTCGCTCACAAAATCTTTTGGAATCTCTAGAAAATCCAGCCGATCCAGCACTGTTGGAGTGGGGAGTTTAGACACCAGTGTGGTTAAGCTACCCCGGGTGTGGATGGATGGGACACGCCCATATGAACTACCCCCTAGGGACACGAGGAGATGGAGCTATGTGTCGGAACCTATACGCTACGTAGATGAATATGTAAGTGTATCTTAGTAACCACACATATATACTTAAAGATAGTCATCGAGTCATACTAAAAGGCTGGAGGATCTAAACTTACACGTGGCCTCAATACGTCACAGTGGAATTCTCTTCCTGCACAGTAGCAGTACAGCACGTTGTCTAAATCTCACAAACAACAATATTCGAGTATTTTTGGCATACACCCAAGTCTTTTTTTCATGAAATGGCTGTTCGATGTCTACCTTTAACGATGTGGATGTGATACATTCCAGAGTGGCCTAAGGTGCAACGTAGTGTTGCGAGCTGACAGGAAACAGTGGCGGGGGCTCAATCCCTGATTCGCTGATGTGATCCCTGATATGAACATGTGCCATTGGTTTGACAGCAGTACAATACCCTGGTGGGAAACTTTTCTGACATGTGTCAACTTGGCTGAAAAATAATCATTCCTAAATTTCTATGCGTAGTTGGGATTGGAATTAGGTTTAAGAGAGGGGGTAGGGGGGTGTATGTTTATTTATGAAGCATGCAATAGTAAACTACTGACCTAGTGGCCTGACGCTTCGTCTCTGAAACTATTAACTGCCGGTCATATGAAACAAACAACGATTCGATGGAGATGTATTTGATGACGGTTTAGATTGTGTTTTGGGCCTTAAGTTGACAGTGTTTCGGGCCTTAAGTTGACAGTGTTTCGGGCCTTAAGTTGACAGTGTTTCGGGCCTTAAGTTGACAGTGTTTCGGCGACCGTTTTCAGCCTAGTAACGTTTCGATATACATGTAGTTTGTAACTTTTTAGTCAAGTACAATTTTCAAGCGTATTCTTTCTTTTGACTGGCAGTTTATAACTTTGATGAAAACTACACTTGAACTGAAAAGGATCCCCAGTGATATGGAAATTTCAGAAAATCGAGACTTGCTTCATTTAGGGCTATAGCATTACAGTAAGGGCTGAGCAGAAGGGAAAATAACATGGTTCAGGGAGTGTCAAACAGGTCTTGTGCCCACATACTCATGGACTCTCAGCCGGGCACCTTAATATAGTGATGCAGAGCGGTTGAATAGCCCTGTGGTTAAGGCGTTTGATCGTCACGTCGATGTCCCGAGTTCGATTACCAGCATGAGTTCTATGACTGAAGCCAATTTCTGGTGATGTGGCTGGACAACTGAAAAAGAAAGCGGCGTAAAACCTTCCTCACTCACTAACAATGTATGGAGATATAATTCATGTTTACATCACGAGTTACTTCTGGTCTCTACACGGCTCTGATCTCCACATATCCTCCCCCTGTATACCCCTGATGTTGATGATGTTGTCGTTGTTGCTGCAGATGATGGATGACTACGTTCATGCCGAGACGCTGCCGCTCCCGCGGTCACACGACGCCAAGAAAAGATTCTACCCTGCATACGGGGTAAATATACAACAGAGTATCCATTTGACCGACCTTGTGGTCCCACTTCTGATTCTCGCACTCACTCATTCCTCCATCCTTCTCTCTCTCTCTCACACAGTTCCTCACTCACTGGACCCCGTCCGTCATTCACTTCTCTTCTCTATCGAATCCCCTTCGACTAAATCTACTACACAATCAATCACCTTCCTCACTCAGTTATTACCCCAACATCAACACACTCATACAACCCCCTATCTCCTTGCTGACCGCCTCCGTGGTCTAGTGGTAGAGCGTCCGCCTGGAGAGCGGAAGGTCCAGGGTTCGATCCCCGGCCGCGTCATACCAAAAGACGTTAAAAGATGGTACTTGTTGTTACCCTGTCTGGCGCTCGGCATTAAGGGGCTAAAACAAGGACTGGTCGGCTCGGAGTCAGTATACTGTGTCTGAGTGGGGTATTCATGTTAAACTGCGGCATGGTTTCTCAGTGGCCATCACTATAAATCGCCATCAGTCCGGACTAGTACAAGCAGCCACACACACACACACACGTGCATGCACGTCGCTATATAAGTGCAATAATCTTGGACGCGACGTTAAACCCAATTTCACCTCACCTCACCTCTCCTTGCTGCGCTATTACCCCAACTCACTCATTCAATCGATCACTCACTCCCTTACTCCCTCACTAACTAAGCCCCTTAAACGTCATCCTCACTCACTCGATCTCTATCGCCCCCACTTTACCCCCCAGGAACGCACTCACACAACCCCCTCCCACGTATTCCACCCACTTCCTGAGTTACTTTAACACTTCACTCCCACCCTATCACATTGCTGACACCAGCTGTTTCTTTCTTATTTTCTCTCGTTGTTTGTTTGTTTGTTTGTTTGTTTGTTTGTTGTTTAACGCCGCGCTCAGCAATATTCCAGCTGTATGTCGACGGTCTGTAAATAATCGAATCTTAGCCTGACAATCCAGTGATTAACCTCATAAGCATCGATCTACGCAAAAGGAATACGATGACATGCGTTAACTAAATCAGAGCCTGGCGACCCCATCCCGTCAGTAGCCTTTAGCCGCCTCCGTGGTCTTGTGGTAGAGCGTCCGCCCGGAGAGCGGAAGGTCCGGGGTTCGATCACCGGCCGCGTCATACCAAAAGACGTTAAAAGATGGTACTTGTTGTTACACTGTCTGGCGCTCGGCATTAAGGGGCTAAATCAAGGACTGGTCTGCTCGGAGTCAGTATACTGTGTCTGAGTGGGGTATTCATGTTAAACTGCGGCATGGTATCTCAGTGAGCTAGCACTATAAATCGGCATCAGTCCAGACTAGTACAAGCAGACACACACACACACACACACATCGCTATATAAGTGCAATAATCTTGGACGCGACGTTAAACCCAATTTCACCTCACCTCACCTAGTAGCCTTTAACAACCATGTGTCGCTGAAGATAAATTCTAACCCAGACCTTCACGAGGGAGATTTCATATTATATCGTAATCTTATCGTTCTTGCCTTTGTACTTGGTTTTCGTTTATTCAACAAATTATTTCATTTCAGAACCAGGCCTACAGTAGCTCAACATTAAACATCCGTCCAGCCTCCAGACATTAAGCGCTGATCACAGGAACTCACCAATTCCATGTTTGCAGTTTGAATGAAAGATAGTGCAGTGTTGCTGTCTGGACCGCAAACTAAAAATCCTAAAATCACTTTCTTACAGTGCGAGAGAAAATTTGACAAATATGAGTAATCTTCTTTCCCAGAAGACGTGGTTAAACACTTCTTTTCAAATGATTGACCGGTCATTAGCAGGACTCTACCAACACTGAACCTCTCTTGTTCCTTCCGCATTAACGTACAGCAAGTCTGAAAATGAAAAAAGAATTCCTGTCTCAAAGAAGCTGACGGTCAACAGGCATCAGTGGAAGGGAGATAACTCTTGAAAGACGATCTCTCAGTTTGCCCGTTATATTCTGAACAAGAGAACGTGCTCAGTGTACTACTTTATTTGTGTTCCTCAAAGAGAACATGAAGAAATAACAATTACTGACATGCCAGTACGTATTCAGACATTTATTGTGACGCAGTTGTGGAAATGTTTCAAGAAGTTGTTCTCCACATGGCCATGGTTTCTGATACAACCAGCTCTTAAAACTAGTTCATACTTGAAAACGTGGTCGAATAACACTACAAACATTACTTGATTGGCTCTTAACTCTATTATATCATTTAGGTAAATGTATACCAATGGGGTTGTTTATTTGAATATTGATATGTGAATAGGAACTTTGTCAAAGAAATCGGGGAGTTTATTGTATCTTTGAACGTCATGTATTGAAGTGAAGGTAGGGCAATTTTTACCTGTTCAAGTAATGTGACACTCTGATAGTCGTACAATTTCCCATTTTGATTGATTATATTTGTAAACCAATCAGAAACATTTATACACCACCTCTAACCCAATCGCGCGTAATGATGTATTGAAATGTGACCCCCTTTACTTACTTACTTACTTACTTTGGAGATTTAACGTGCGCTTTCCGACTGATGCGTATTTCGCACACGGGACCCCCTTTATGACAAGGCTCCTTTTTACAGTCTGTTAAGTTATCTAACAATTGATGTAACGAAGTCAGTGATTGGTCAAAGCAACTTTTTGAAACACGTCCATTGTACTTCACTGCTACTTAGCATATATCAATATACCGTGCAGAATGGTTGTATACGATAGACACAATGGCGATATAAAATAATAATTCCTATTTATACGTTTAAAGCTTTGTACATACATCTTTACCTTATGATCGCAGCATTTGTATAGGGTCTGTGGACATGTGTATAGGGTCTGTGGACATGTGTATAGGGTCTGTGGACATGTGTGTAGGGCCAGACGGTGTTCAACATTGTGTTTGTATTTCAATACATCTGCTGTTTGTAAGATACCCTTGTACATAGAACGCATACTTCATATACAGTTTCAATGTCATCCAGATTTGTATTTTTATATCCTGTGTATTGTTAAAGTAGAATCATAGTAAAATCATTATTGTGTACGGTCAGTAATGATCACAAACTATATCAATCGTCTAAATTTAAACAATGTCATACGATCCTCTTCATGGGTTAATGGCCTGAATTCACATTATTGCCTCAATGTATCCTTTGAAGATTCTTTATCTCTCGGTACTTTTATGATCCGTTACCTAAAATACAAGTGAAATAAATAAATAGTAATAACTATTGTTGGCCACAACATGTTATTTATCCGTTCTTCTCATCTTCTTGGAAACAAGTCGCTATATGGCTGAAATAATGACGATGTGACGTTAAATATTAACTCACTCACTCTTGGAAACATTGCTACTGATCAACTGGGCCTAATAAAGGTGAGAATATTGAATTGGGCCTTGAAAAAAACCCTGAGGTTAGAAAGATAGAAAACAATATATAAAAAATATCGACTTTGTCATCTAATTGCTATTCAATCAGTTGACGGGGATGAGCTATGAAAATGTGTCTTGACAAAAATCCTTGAAAGCAAGAAATGATAAAGAAGTATGGGAAAGAACAATTTTTATAAATTGTTGTGGTCTAATGTAGTTTTCTTTTGACTCCAGATGCTGAAGAATTGTTCTGGCAAGCATTGATTCACTAACCGTTGCTATAATACCTATATATGCCTATGCCTGAATATTGCCTTGTTTTGAAATATGTTTGTACATATCTGATACACATGTTCTTTAGACAATTACTTTATATAATATACACTACCTTTGTGTAGTGATGGTAAACGTGGAAAATAAACACTTGAAGGAAAGAATAGTTGGCTCAGCCTCAGTCCTTTACACATCTTAGAGTGAGTGAGTGAGTATGGTTTTACGCCGCTTTTAGCAATATTCCAGCAATATCACGGCGGGGGACACCAGAAATGGGCTTCACACATTGTACCCATGTCGGGAATCGAACCCGGGTCTTCGGCGTGACGATTTAACGCTTTAACCACTAGGCTACCCGGCCGCCCCTACACATCTTAGAACAAATATAGGTTTTGCTAAACATCTTATGTCATTTTTACACCGTGCTGGGGAATAAAGAAAAACATCGGCATCACTGGACATTTAATACACAAATAAACAATGAGCTGAGTTTCCAGCCAAGGCATACATGAGATGAAACGAGTCCCAGCTCAACATCCGGGCAATTCCCACGAGTGGAACATCCTGCTCGCGATCGTCCAACACAAGCAGTCGGAAAACCAGTCGACCCGAGTATCTACATTATATACAGGTACACAGGTTAACACGTAGGCATAAATCTTAAAACTGTTTATTTAATGACTTTGGATTAAGACGGATATCGGATAGGGACTATAAGCACATAACAATTAGGAGGCGCCCCATCGACTGAGACCGCCTCCGTGTCTTGCACTGATTCTTCACAAGGCAATAATATGCACACTTAAGTACAATCTAAGCATCGCCAAGTTAGAAGGTGTCAAAGTTCATTCTATACTAGTTATTGTTTCTTGCAGGGTGGGGGGCACGGGTGGCCCAGTCGTCTAGGGCGCCGCGATTCGCTGTGCAGAGTTGCGTCCCTTTGGCACACCAGAAACCTTTGATTGTGGGTTCGAATCCCGGTTTGCCCCGATTATGTTTCTAGGTTTGTCAGCACCATACCCGTGCTCGTGGGTTTCACCGAAGTGGTAAACGTCTGAGACCTGCACCACTTCGGGTTTTCCTCCCACATTAAGCTGACACGCCGTGATATAACTGGAATACTGTTAAAAGCGGCGTTAAACCCAACTCACTTACTCACTCACTCTTGTAAGGTATTGCCAGTGTGCTTTTAACATCTGAGTGTACTTGTTCTAATGTAATATGTCAACGCTCTGTGGGCCGCTGTCTGCATTGGAAATCTGTATAGGCTGAAGTACTGGGGAAAAAAACAACTTGGATAGAAAGTTGGTCAGACGTTGGTTGTCTGGAACAAAAGATGAATTATTTTATTGACCGGGTTCAGTGTGCTTGTAAACAATGCGCACACAACCAATGCGCTTGTAAACATAAAACGTCAATAAGCAGTCTCGATTATCTACTCTTGCATACTCTTTTCGCGAGCACCTGTGAAGTGAAATGGGATGTAACGTCGTGTCCACGATTATTGCACTTATATAGCGACGTGTGTGTGTGTGTGTGTGTGTGTGTGTGTGTGTGTGTGTGTGTGTCTGGACTAATACCGATTTTATAGTGCTACCCTACTGAAATACCATGCCGCAGTTTAACATCAATACCCGAATCCGTGCCGACCAGTCCTTTTTTTAGCCCATTAATGCCGAGCGCCAGACAGGGTAACAAGGGGTACCATCTTTTAACGTATTTTGGTATGACGCGGCCGGGGATCGAAACTCGGAACTTAGGCTCTCCGGGCGGAGGGCTCTACCACTAGACCACGGAGGCGGTTCTCTCATGAGAGATGCCTACTGAATTGGTTACGTACTTTGTAGTGAGTCGTCGATCGTACATAATCATATCATTTATTTTATCAACATTTTCCTTCCTGGTGGCAGTTGAAGGTTCTCCTGATCTTAGATCATCTTCGAGGCTCTTTCTTTCCATCTTCACCTCTTAACAGTGGAAAGGGAATTAACAAAATTCGTTGCAGTTGCAGGCATTGGTGGCTAATGGAGAAACTTGAGCACAGCGTGGTAGCCACATTTGTCCATTTCCATGAACAGAAAATAGGTAGTCATATTGATGCCTGCAGAAATATGTTGCCTGGCCGTGTATTTGGTTCCAATACAGCCTGTAAGCATGGACACTTAAGTACTGACGTAAAGCATGTAAACTGGTCAGGGTGTAACACGCATCCTTCGCAGTAGGGCTCGGAACCTTCCAGTCACCCCTCGTATTATACAGACTGCAAGAAGGGGGTAGAGGGAATTATACATGAATAATAAAACAAAAAACACACAGGGCAGAAAAAATATGTTTAATTATTCAATAAGTGTTTCTGTGGTTAGCTAATTATAACCCCATAACTAGGCCACGCCCACTGTGGGGCAACTATTTCCTGATACTGATTGATGGCTGTTAATAAAATAGGCAGGGCTTTGTGTTGCATTATTGACGTCAGCGACGTCCATCTTGTTGTCTTCAGTTGTTTAAGTGTTAATGATTTGGCAGTCTGCGAAGTTATTTATGTTGACGTATTTATAATAATAATAATTTGGGGGCGTTTATGGAGTTATAAAAGATGGTTTCGCGATAAACGGCAAAGAGCAATGAAGAACGTAACGTGGTTTGTTTCACGATGAAACATTGTTCTACCATTACGTCATTTGTGGAGATTCGAATATGCGCTCGAAATAAAATCGACGTGAGGATTGTGAGAATATGCGGGAAATACCAAACTTAACCCACCTGTTCATAAAATGGACTTGTCCGTCATTGCCGACGGATTCTATTCAGGGAGTCATCATTATTAAAATTAGGGTAACTATTATTGAAGCTTGCACATTTATCAACATCCTTAAAGAGGCTGTACATAATGACGATATCTCATAAGAAATTAACGACTCGTGGTTGGTGTTTATCGTACAATAAAACACCGCAGGGAGAATAAACCACTTGGGTCTGCGGCCCTCATTGTTTATTCTCCCTGCAGTGTTACATTGTACGATAAACACCAACCACGAGTCGTTAATTTCTTATAAGATATCGTCATTATGTACAGCCTCTTTAAGGATGTTGATAAAATGTGCAAGCTTCAATAATAGTTACCCTAATTTTAATAATGATGACTCCCTGAATAGAATTCCCACTCTTCGTTTATTTCTCAAATAAAAGTAAAAGCTGCCTTGCACAATTGGCACCAACACCGTATGCATACCGGTTGTATACGTGTGTACCTCCATAAACGCAAAACATGTTGAAGTCAATACTTAAATACCGGGTACAATACACTACCAGTGGTAACATATTTTAAAACATAAACTGTTATAAACAAACAGAATAACAACAGTGTGTACTCCCATGTACCATAACGTTTAGAATTCCACAAATCTTCATAATGACCAGGAATGATTTGTTGTTCTAATTGGAGCCTCTTGTACGAATATAGGTCTCGTCATTTCAGGTGTGGTGGTGTTTGTTGTTTAACGCCGCACTCAGCAATGTTCCAGCTACATGACGGTGGTCTGTAAATAATCGAGTCTGGACCAGACAGTACAGTGATTGACATCATGAGCATCGACCCACGCAATTGGGATAGGATGACATGCATTAACCAAGTCAGTGAGCCTGTCCACCCGATCCCGTTAGACGCCTCTTACGACAAGCATAGTCGCCATTTCGTGATCAAACAAATGTCAACTTCATTGGTCCACTAGATTCTGGACCCGTGAAGATCCGGGGTGGAATAGATCTTCAGAAACCCATGCTTGCCGTAAAAGGCGACTATGTTTGTTAAACAACAAACAAACAAACTAGTTTCTGAGAAGACGACAACGGATAATCAGGCCATAACATAAAAATGCTTGACCTTTGGTCAGATGAACGGAACTTCATTAACAAATTAGCTTGTAGAGCGTAACCTCATTCCACGACAAGCAATAGTTGATGTCTTCATCAGATGGATGGAAACACATGTAATATAGCAATAGAAAGAGTACATGCAAAAACGCCAACGCCAAAATAGCAATGAAGCCCCCAACATGGAACCATTCCGCAACATTGGTGGGATACAAAAACCAAACCGTCAACATTGCAACATTTTCAACATAAAATAGAATGTAAAATAGTAAACACCTAAACCTTGAATGGCCTTTTTTCGGGTTCAAGAAACAAAATATCATAGCGAAGCCACATATGACGTCAAAAACTTTATCAAGTCGTGGATTCTTTTCGTAGAACTTGACCTCCTGGCACATGAGCCAGGCAGAAATTAAGAACCAGTGGACCCCGACAGGGACTAACACACTCGCTTGGAAGGAAGACGCGAACAGAGATATGCATAGAACGCGCGTCCCCAACTCACATGCCCGCCATATCAAATAGAAAGGGATGGATCTAAACGTCATTGGCTTGAAACCATCTCGAGCTCTGGAAAACCTGATAGCTCGGTGATAAAGCATCAGACTCATTGTCGGCGATATCCAGGAGGAGAGCAGTCCTATAACACGTCCTGATACTGCAAGAAATAGAGGAGAGCGTCATCTACTATCCTGCCTATATACCTAGCCCCCAACCAGGGAACCATATGACCCACTGAGCATCCCACGTAATCTACATACCTTATGTAATATGCCATCTAAGCACCCAACAATGTCTTCTATATACCTTACGATCATGTCTGTCAATTTTCACCACATCAGAATACCCAATACTTGTGACTTGCAAAATAAAGATTTAAATTTTGATGCAATGATTCATCATAGCCATTGAAACTTCCCTCCCATATATTGAGTGAGTGAGTGGATTATGTGTAACGCCGCTTTGAATAGTAGTTGAGTTATGTCACGGCGCGCCACCTTCATGTGGGAGGAATCCCGAAAGTGATTGATTCACGTTAATTTCATTCAATGATTATTATGTTAAAGGAAGGTTTTTGGTCAGTGATTCTTGTAAAAATACATGACAAAGAAAAACGTAAGTGAATTACACTCCATGCTTACATCCCACCACATCCTCCTCCGGCTTCAGCGTGATCCACACATACAGCTGCCAGGTGAGTTGTGGAGACGATTCCAGGAAACTCTCAAACAGCTGCAGGAGACACACATTCACATCTTGGCACATCACCCGCCAATAGTAGACCTTCTTCTTCGGGCCCTTTGTCTCCATGAACTTGCGACCACTCTTTAAATACTCGTAAATCCTGAAACAGTGGAAGTGAATTGTGTTTGATGATTAAACTAAGTTATGTTCATTGTGGTCATGGATATTACAATAAATATATCTGGTGGGTGGAGGCCCTAACAAGCACTTGCTACACACAGAATTCCATCGCACTAGGTATAAAAATGGACTTAAAACTATATGTTTTTATTATTTCAAATGTGGCCCGGTGATCTAAGGCGCCGCGTTTCGCAGTGCAGATTTGCGCGTTTTATAAACCAATGAATTCGTGGGCTCGAATCAGTTTCATTCTGAATATTTCTACATGTGTCAGGACCATAACCCTGCTAGTGGGCTTCGCCAAAGAGGTAAATGTCTAGATCTGCGTCACATAGTACTCCCCCCTGAAATACTGTTTAAAGAGACGTTAAAGAAAACTGACTCACTCAAGCCTGTTTGTTTACAGTCACTAGAAGTGAAGTGGTAAATGGCCAAGACCTGCATTATTTCCACCTTCCTCGTTTTTGAAAAAGAATACGAATATTTCAGTAACCGATGTGAAATAATGTGTAAATGATGATGATGATGATGATGATGATGATGATGATGATGATGATGATGACGACGACGACGATGATGATCTAAAATGAATGACCATCTGCACATTATTATGACCATTGTTGAAACCTCTGTACACATTGTGGCACAGCTTCACGTTGATGTTTTTTGTACCAACATGTATCTTTAAAGACTGTTATTTACGCACACCGAAAACGTCTAAGTTCCCTAACAGTCACCCTTTCCTTTGGGTGGGAGAGCAGCCTATTTGTTCAACCGTTCGCTTGTCACGTTGTAGTCCTGGGTTTGATTCTCCAAGTGTGAAACATATTCCCCGCACCCCTCAGGATATATTGCTGGAATATTGCTAAATTAGTCGAAAAAAATACAGTCACTCACACTTTCCTAACTTGGGGGCTTAAGATTTCGTTACATACATTCCCGTGTTTGGCCAGGAACACGCATTACAAACATCAAGCAATGCTGGAGATGTGTAGTGACAATTTAACACTGCATAGGACTCGAAAAGGGAACCAACAAGGCAGACTTACAGTATCAGTAGTTTTGGAGATGGATGAACAGACGGACAAAGGACACTCTTTGGTTCAAGTCTCATACCATTTAACAGATAATCTGAGAACCAATCATCTAACAATAATATTTACATACCTGAATACCATTCCAAATTGTAGAAGTGTCACGATGACCCTTATCGGCCACAAATAAGCTGGTGTTAGCAACTCTTTCACTTTTCCAAGCATACTTGGGTCTTCATCCCGTTTTGCTTCATCCAGTGCCTTCTGTTCTTTGTCGTAGTCCACAGCATACCAGATGAGCCCCAGCACACATATCACCAGTGATGGCACAACAATCAGAACCAGCGTCACAGACCCATACAGTAGCTCCCCTCCTATGAAATACATCACAGCCATCTGAATGTCAGATCCAACATCGAAAACATAGAATAAAATCCCAATAAATCCGAACACAGCGCCCACCTTTCCAAATTCGGACGCGAATTTTTCCTCCTTGGTTGGCTCTGCTGCCATTCTTCCTATTGGAGGCGCAACGTAACTCATGCCTATGTCCACAGTATCATCAGCTGTTTCTTTTGATTCAGGCCCAAATAGATAAGTATAGGGCGTTACAGCCTTATTCCGGCTTGACAAAGGTATATTTGACATGACCATAGGGTCTTCGCTTCTATCCGGTGCTTCCATGACGCTCGGAAGTGACACTCAGACCCACTCGGTTTATTCCCTTATCCGTTCCGATTACGAATTTCCGTGTTAACGAATAAAGGACACTTTGTAAGCAGGCAGCTTTCGTCTTGGAGGTGGGGTTCTGTATAACCGGGGTCCCGACTGGCGAGTTTTTGCTGAATCGCTTCGACACTTTTGACGTAACTGCAACCTTCTGTTTATGAACCCAGTGGCTCAAGTTAGCCGAATCCTGAGGAGAAGGTAGCATGTGAAGGTAATATAGGAAGCCTTGGAAGACAGGAAACGCTGTGAATCAGACAACAGCTAGCTAGGTGTTGAATCGTGTTGCAGGGTGGCAAACGTAACCCTAACCCGTCATTCTCTCTGCCGGTTCATTTGTGGTGTGTGTGTTACGCGCTGAAAGAAGTAACAAAAGAATACCTGAAGTAGCTATATCTCAACCCACAACAACGTCAGTTTATACGGCCTTCCCGGGACGGTCACACGTTGTGATATTGCGACCTGCACTGCAGTAAAGACCCGCCAACGGATGAATAACTTACACCAACGCAGCACTGCATGATGCGGTATATTTCTGTGTAACGGCGATATTAGCCAGTGAACAGGCGTTGCGTCGGCAGTGTCTGGGTTTAGCCGGGGTTATCATATTCCTAAAGACACCACGTGGGAACCTCGGGTCAGAACAGCTACCCAGCTATTTATGGTTGCCGAGAGGGGACATCGCTTTCTCGCTTTCTCGCTTTCTCGCTCTATCGCTTTCTCGCGGTACAGCAATATTCCCTCTTGGCCACGATATGGGTCGCATGCGTCATGTGTTTCTATACGATAAAAAGTATATACGTAAAACAACATTAATGAATTGTCCTCAGTGTGTGTGTGTGAGAGGGGGGTGGGGTGGGGGGGTGGGGGTGGGGGGTGTGGGGGGGTCGGGGGGCTGATGTGTGTGTGTGGGGGGGGGGGGCTGAGATTTTTCCAAGTCGCATTTCCAATTATACTTATGGACGGAGAATGTTGAAATTTTCTCACTATCTACTTAAAAATAATTTAACAGTACAGACATAGGTGCTTTTATAACAATCCACGTATTTCTGCGTAAAAAAGAATTTGATTGATTTAAGGCCCTATTTAGCTATTGGATCCCCCGCCCCCAGGCCAAGGTATCGAAACAAATAGCAAATAACACCGCTCAACAGCGCTGAGTAGTACGTACTTCCTAAAAGGCAATAGTGTTTTCCTAAAAACAACGCTTATATCAATGCTTATTCTGTTTGCGGAGTAGATGTCATCAAAGTGGAAGTCCTCACCCAAGCAATGGTAATACTACCGGATATTCGTTATGTAATTTCTAGTTTTTGGATGACATATTGTTCTCAGTAACCGTAATGTGGAAATAGATAGTTGATTGGTTTTATATTCAAGTTGGTATTTCCGCTATTCAAAGTGTTCAGTGAAGCCGTCTTATCAACAGTCATTTCTGAGACATAAATGCTAAGTTTAATTGCCGCATTCGACGTAATAAGCGCCCCGCTCTAATAAACGCCCACAGCGTTATTTGCTAATATATTGGCTAGTGAACAATCCAAGCACCCCTCCCGATTGATTAATGTACACAAGACTTATTTATTCGCGTATAATAAGCACTCGTTATATGCACACTTAATTATGGGCAATTAAATTCGGGAAAAATATATCTGTCGTACATAAACATTTCAGGCTGTCAGCATAAACCCCGAAATTCATCTTTCAACTCAACTTTTTTTACACCAAAATAATATTCTAATTTTGAGAGCGCCCTGTGCGCTTATTACGTCGAATGCGGTAATTAAGTCTACGCTAATTTGTTTGCATCTATTATTAACTCTAACGTTAATTTCAAGATTTACAGTACATACTATTCAAAAGAAGTTAAAGAACACCCGATTCCTTCATATGACTAGTCATTAGAGGAAGCGATAGAGCGATAGAGCGATAGAGCGATAGAACGATAAAGCGATAGAGCGAGAAAGCGATAGAGCGAGAAAGCGATAGAGCGAGAAAGCGAGAAAGCGATAAAGCGATAAAGCGATAGAGCGAGAAAGCGATAGAGCGATAGAGCGAGAAAGCGATAGAGCGATAAAGCGATAGAGCGAGAAAGCGATAGAGCGATAAAGCGATAGAGCGAGAAAGCGATATTTCCCATAATGCCGTACATTAAAACGGTTTTTGCTGACATTTAGTGATCCATTCCTGTAATTCTCACCGCTATTTTGCCTCTTATGATTAGATTTTCTAAACATCTTGTAGTAGATAAATATGTTACAAAATACACACGTATTTTTTTCTCGTTTAGCCTGTATATTTTCTTGTAGTGTAATAAATAAGCAAGATTCACAGAATACAGATTCACTGTTCATATTTTCATTTTGTTCATAGTATCCTCCCCTCATTCCTCCATCAATCTTAAAACTGATAATATATTGACAAACAATTGTCAGTTTTATTAGCCAGTTTGTATTGTTTTACAACGTCCAAAGAATTATTTTTTTCGGTCATTAGATTTGGAATTGAAGCAAAATATATGCTCGTCCGATTTCGGGATCACAATTATGTTCATGCAGTTAAGTTGCATGCACATTATGCAAACAAAAGATGTACATGTACACAGTTATGTTTCCCTTACAAAATACAGATGAATTAGATATATGTCTCTACCTTAAGTCATATATACGACTTTCGAGAGCGTCATTAACCCGTAACCCCATTCCTTGGACAACAGAAATGAAATGCGTCGTAGATATTTTTTAAAAACAACTCGTTTCTTATAATGACTTTCGATCAAACTGTCTTCGGGAATTAAATTTAATGCTAAAGTGCTTGTAAAATATAGTTTAACTTTCCCGCCAGGAGAGACTAGATATCCAATTATAGTATAGGCTCAGACAGGAATATACATATTTAAGTAGCAATTCTCTATCCATTTAAACTGTATGGTTAACAATTGTGCGTTCTGATGTGAGTTCTGTAGTTATCTACTACCGGACACACACACAAACACATACACACATACATAATTTTGACAAAACTATACTTAAGATATACATAGCATATTATAATGATAGCTGATTTAATATATGTTATAGATAATTATAGTAATGCATTTCGTATTGTTATCAACCTTAACTATGTGGCCACACTAATTATGTCTCTCCATATGTGTAGTTAACACAGAACACATATCAACTGTGGTAACGCCACAGCGATGGGGGCAGTGGGGTAGCCAAGTGGTTAAAGCGTTCGATCGTCAACCCGAAGACCCAGTTCGATTCCCCACATGGGTACAATGCGTGAAGCCCATTTCTGGTGTTCCCCGTGATATTACTGGATTATTGTTAAAAGCGACGTGAAACCATTCCCACTCACTTACTCACAGCGGTCTTTATCAAATTACTATATGCAAGTACATATATTTGTAGATTTGCACAAGACAAGAAACACAATTCAAGTTAAATGTCAAAAAGAACATTTACGGACAACCAAATTATGACACACTGTAACATCATATACTACCGAAAACTAGTTATAGAACATCCAAAATTATAAGATTGTATTTTTGCAAAACAATCAGCCATGACTAATTAACCAAAGTCTTCTTAACTTTTATATATAGTATATATTTAGATTTTAACCTGATTTATTTAGAACGTATTGCCAGTATCTGCCACGCGCTTTCGGCGAGATGGTCACATACAACCGAAAAGGGCCATAAATAAATCAATTATATTTTACGCAAAATTCGGTGGATTGTTTTAAAATCACCGACGTCTCTACAGTTAAATTATGTTTTAAGTAAATAGTGAGAAAAGTTCAACATTACCTCCCAATTGCAGCAGATATCACATGCGGCCCCTATAGTGGTCAAGAGGGGATATTGCTTAACCGCGAGAAAGCGATAGAGCGATAAAGCGAGAAAGCGATAGAGCGAGAAAGCGATAGAGCGAGAAAGCGAGAAAGCGAGAAAGCGATAAAGCGATAGAGCGAGAAAGCGATAAAGCGAGAAAGCGATAAAGCGAGAAAGCGATAGAGCGAGAAAGCGAGAAAGCGATGTCCCCTCTCGGCCACCATAGCTATTTCCTGGGATCCGTTTCACAAATAAAAAGCGATCTTTGCGATACGATCGTCGTACGTCCATGTCAACGTATGAATAAGAACATCTTAGCGTAGTTAAAATCGCTGTGTGGAACGACCCTGGTCCGTGAACGATTTTTTTTCAGGCCTGGAGTAGTGCTGATTGCTGCGTTAAACATTCTCTTACTATCGCTGAAAAATCAGGGCGGATAAATACAATACCGCGTGATAATACAGGACTTGTCAATGTTTCAAAGAAATATAATTGGCCCTTCCACATCTGTAGGACACAAGTAAGTATGATGTACTTAAATGACACAGGTTAAAAGTGTACGTGCAAATACCTGAGAAATTCGTTGTTCCTGTGTCTTTAGTTTCATGACTGTGTGTATTTGAATATAACACCACAATGTCCATTATTGAATAATCATGTATTATCGCATTTTCAAAGGACAAGGTGGTGCGGGTGGCCCAGTCATTTAAGGCGCCGCGATTCGCTGTACAGAGTTGGGTCCCTTAGGCCCGCTAGAAACCTATGATTGTGGATTCGAATCCTGGTTCGCCCCGATTATGTTTCTAGGTTTGTCAGCACCATACCCGTGCTCGTGGGTCTCACTCAAGAGGTAATCGTCTAAGACCTGCATTACTTCGGGCTTTCCTCCCACATTAAGCTGACACGCCGCGATATAACTGGAATACAGTTGAAAGCGGCGTTCAACCCAGCTCACTCAAGGGCAAGACGTTGGAAACAAGCAGCTGCACGTTCACATGCTATAGCCAATAAAACCCGAATACTACCTGCCAAGCCCCTTCGAAAATTTTATTCAATAATGAGTTGTGTAATCACCGGAGAGGTCATTGATGTAATGATTGGGTTTGGTTTAATAAGGTTAATGCTACCGTGAACAGCATTTATACAACAGCGCGTCAACCTTGGTGAGTGAGTAGGGTTGCCTGGCTTTTAGCAAAATTCCAGCAATATCACACTGTAAACATGTGGGGAATCGACACTGTCTTCCGCGTACGAGCGAACGCTTTAAGCACTAAGCTAGCTCAGAGCACACATATGAAAGTGGTTTCAGTTCATAGGCCACAGATCAAAGTGGTTTAGTTCCTAGGCAACAGTTTAAAGTGATTGTAGCTCAGAGCACATAGATGAAAGTGGCTTTAGCTCATGGACACAAAATACCTCAAGGGATGCAAAACTGTTGTCCTGCTTTTACAACCAAACATGAACAATCTACATGTCACATCTGATGAGTGAGTGAGTGAGCAAACGGTAGTCAACAAAACAAGTCCATGAAGTCTGAAACATACCAAGCATGTAGCAACCAGAGGACCAGATTTCAACCTCTGACTACTGCAATAATACACTACATCAACAAGCAGAAACAGTATTCAAGTGTCCAAATGTTTAAAACTCCTGCCAATATT